TAGATCTAATCTGGCCACAACCACAGTCGTCGCGTAGCCCGATCGTCGCCAAAATAATCTACATAAGAGTAAGTATTAAAGTAATATGACAGTTGTGGTCCGTAGCTCGTCGTTTTCATTGTGTTCGGGCTATTACTCTCTGCTGGCGCCAAGAACGTGTTGGTAGGCTAGTTGTGAGGAATGTGCATCAGTGTTGCCGTTTTAACCCTTTGGTGGCTAGATTTAGCTCCATATACTTTTTTTGGCCACATAAATTTAAAATTGCCCCTAGCCCTATTTTTAGCCCTTTGGAGAATTTATTTATACCTGGCATGAAAAAGTTGTATATGCTTAATTTGATCTATTTTTTTCATTTATGTAAGTGATTTTAAACTAAGAGAGACTGATATATACACATATATGTATTGTATGTTCTTTACGTTTTTATACATACATACTGTAATGGCGCATTTACATGGTATGAAGCCATATGAACTGTTGATACGCTAAAATAGAGGGACTACATGTTCTAATGAGGAATTCAATGATATCGAGTGGGATGCATATAATACATTTTTTCATATGAAAAGTTATGGGGAGATACTGTAAACATACTGTTGTGATACTGTTAAGCATATGAAATTATAGCAAGTTGAATTTTCATACATCTTCCCATAAAAAGTTTAACAGATGCAGAGATACCAAGGGGGGTTTTTCCCATTTTGATGCCTTTTTAATATAAAAACCCACCGAAAAGGAGGAAAGCGGCAACTCCGCCATTCACATTCATGTCAAAAGTATGAATTTTAAAAATTAAAAACAATAAACAAACAAATTCAAAACAAAGAAATTCTTTGTACTAGAATTTTTAAATTGAAGCCACTCACGTTTAGTGGACAATAAAAATACGAAGAACTGTGATAACAAACTTACAACAAGACATTACAGAACATTTTAATGAGCTTTATATCACGTTTAAGTAAAAATAAGCCTATATTTTCCAAGCTGGCAAAGAAATGAAAATTTGTATTTTTGGTTGTTTACACAAAGACTTGCCAAATATACATATAAGTCAAAATTATAGAAGGCATGTATACTTCTCCCTTTCATTTTTTCATACAGTTTATGCTTCTTTCTGGCTTTTACAAAAATGCAGGGATACCGCACTTATTTCGGTACAATATGATCGTAATGTATTTTCAATTCGAAATCAAACAAAAACATCCCACGAAAATGTTTGCGATTTTAGAACCATTAGTGAATATTTGCAAACTACTGCAAATAATAGAGTGCCATAT